CGGGCTCCTAACCGCGCTCTGCTCCTGCAGCGCAACTGGCGCAAGCCGAGGGGCATCGACAACAGAGTCCGCCGGCGCTTCAAGGGTCAGATCTTGATGCCAAACATCGGCTACGGGAGCAACAAGAAGACCAAGCACATGCTGCCCACGGGCTTCAGGAAGTTCCTGGTCCACAATGTCAAGGAACTCGAGGTGCTCATGATGAGCAACAAGTGAGTTAATGCGCGTCCTGCGCGCTGGGGGCCGTGGAGGCAGCGCTGCCTCCCCTGGGCCCTGTGCTGCCGGGCTGGCTGGCTCTGCGTGGAAGGGCAGCGTGGACCGGGGCAGAGATGCCGCAGGGCCACGGGCTGGCTCCCAGGGCAGGAGGGTCTGTTGGTCTCCCCAGAGCGGCTGAGCCGCAGGGGGAGCGGGTGGGAGACGGCCCACGGGCACCTCCCCGGAGCTGTCGCCCCGGGCACCTGGCTCACGATCCGCCCTGGAGCAGCTGGGGCTGTTGCGTGCTCTGCACAGGCACAGACGTGATTGCAGCACTTGTTTCTTTCAAATGAAAGTGATGAGAGTGATATTCTGAGGGAGGATGTCTGGAAAATTGCCCTGAGGTCTGCTCGTGTGCAAGGAAACGAGCTGCTGCAGCAGCGAGGTCGGGAGCGGGGCGCAGGTCCTGGGGTCTCTTGTGCAGGGCGCTCGCGCGGTGCTGCTGCCCGGCCCTGGCAGCAGGTCCCTCCGGATGCCGCATCCGAGGCTCAAGCCTGATGGACGCTCCGCTCCTGCAGGTCCTACTGCGCCGAGATCGCCCACAACGTGTCCTCCAAGAACCGCAAGGTGATCGTGGAGAGAGCCGCCCAGCTTGCCATCAAGATCACCAACCCCAACGCCAGGTTGCGCAGCGAGGAGAACGAGTAAAGGCTTCTTGCAGCGAGATGTATTTAATAAAAAGTAAAACCAATGTGCAGTGAGTCGTTTTGACTCGCCCAAGGCCGCGGTTGCTCTTGCGCCCGTTCCTGCCCGGGGCGCAGCTCCGCTGTGGAGGGCACTGCTGGCTGCCGCTGTCCCGCTGTGACCGCTCTCTGGTGCCATCTCTAACCCCTGCTAAGGCTGCGTGCTTGGCCCAGGAGCTGCTGCTCCCATTTGGCTCTGCTTCCTTCACTAGACTCCAGGTAACCTTAAATAAAGGGAATGCTGTTGGGGCTGAACCCCCTTGAGGAGCTGACCACAGGGACCAGAGTCCCAGTGTGTAAGAAAAGGTCAGACCCTTTCCTGTTCCCTTGTGTGTCAGCCCCAGCCCTGACTTATAACTTCCCTGTGATCATTAATGAACCTGGAAATGTGCACAGCTGCATAAATACACTTTTATTTCCTTGGATACCACTCAAACAGAACAGATGCTCTTTCACACTGCATTATAAATAGTTTTCACAACAACTATGTCGAAAAAGGAGAAAAAAGAAAGCTCATTACAAATCCACAGCTCCAAGAAGGGTGTCCCGGCGGCCCCAGGCTCTAGTTCGCTATTTATTACATTCTCTCGTGTCTCTTAAAGGCTCTTTTCCTGTGCAAAGCAGAATTTGAAGAAGGCAGCCCCGTTAGGGTAAGTTTATGAATGCTGAAGGTGTTAGCGAGCTCTGCCCGCTCTGGTGCTGTGGCGCTACCGTGCGGGCACTTCTCCCCTTGCTGCGGAGGCTGCGGGTGGCTCCGCGCCTCGGCCCGTGACGGGAGCGCGGCTGCTCGCAGCGGCTCTGCCCCTGCCCGGGGTGCTGGGGGCAGGTTACTTCTGCACCGCAAGCGGGAGGAGCCCTTTGGGAACACAGCTGGTTGAGGTATTTTGCACAGTTAAAACTGTAGTAAGGGCAGTCGGGCATCATAGTTTTGTATCACCAAAATGGCACAGAAATAATACGTATCCTGCATTTTTAGTGCTGCATAAAAGGCTGGGAGGGGTAAGCGCTGTGCACTGAGCTCATGCAGCTTCACTGATGCTGTAACCTCTTTTTAAAGGGGATGAGCTGCTCACAACCCTCACCTTTGCTTAAGCAAAGTTGTGACTTGCAGCTTTTAGTCATGTTAGTGAAGCAACAGGAACACATTCTTCAGACAACTTGGGGGAGAAAGTGCATGTGCAGTGGTTAAACAAATCAAAAGCCAAACCTTTACCCCTGCTTCTCAGGGTGCTGCAGGAGGGAAGTGTTCCAGGACCGGGGCTCTATTTTTCATGGAGCCGCACTAAACCTGATTGCCTCGTACGCCCTTTAGTAGCTTGCTGACAAATCAGTGCACTTGCTTTTCGGTCCGTTCCCTACGTAAGGACACGCTTTCCCAGACTGCAGAGCCTGCCCCAGTTCGGCGGGACGCCCTCCTCCTGCAGGCGCAGGGACCCCTCCTTCCCTCATGCGCAGGGGCTGCAGCTCAGTGATGTTCATCCGACGATCTGCTACGTTAATGCAGGATGGGGACGGGAAGGCGAGGGGAGTAAACAACCTTAGCTCATGTCCATTGATTCTGGGGTGGGTAAGGAGGCAGAATCCTTCTGAATGCTTTCAAAAAGTGATGCCATTTCAGGATTGGATCTGATCTGAGAGGAAAACTCAGCCATCACGGGACTCTTCTCTACTTCGGGGATTGTGAGGAGAGCAGCCACTGCTCTCATTGCTGATCGCTTCAGTTCGTCTTGTTTTTCAAACTCCTGTTTCACAGAGCCAGCTTTTACCTGAAAACCCAAAGCAGCTCCTTTAGCTGGGGTTCAGAAAGGGCTGGGTAGGCAGAAACGGGCAGGTTATTTTCTAGCCAGAGGCCTTGGTGAGAGGATGGCTCAGACACAGAACCTCCAGTGCAGGCGGCAGCGCCCACGCCCTGCGCTCTCACCGGGCATGGGCAGCAGTGCCCGCGCGCTCGTCCCCACGCTCTCACCAGGCATGGGCAGCAGCGCCCGCGCACTCGTCCCTGCACCCCGTGCTCTCACCTTGGTGGAGCAGGTGGCCCGCAGGGGCTCGATGAGCCGCTCCAGCCTCTGCAGGACGGCGCTCGGGCACAGCGTGGCCAGGCGGGCCAGCATGATGAAAGTCAGCATCTAGGCAGCAGAGAGAAGTAGAACCAGGCTTTGCTCTGCACTGCCTCCCTCCTGAGGCCGAGCACAGGCACTGGCTGCTGCAGCCCATGCACAGCTTGTGGGGCTCTTACTTCACAACGCCTCTCCTGCTGTGCTTTGCTTTGCGCTGGGGTTTTATAGCAGCCTTGGTAGCGTTAAAAATGTACCTTCTAGGAACCAATACCCACCAGTAGCCTGGTTGGACCCTGGTCCCAAGATTACATCCTCCTCCAAAGTGTCAATGAAATCTGACAGCTTGTGGGAAAAATAGCTGCACTCGCCCTGGGGACCGTGCTGCTGCTGTGCCTGGCTCTGCCAGGGTATCGGGCAGCGTGACAAGGAGGCAGCGCTTCCTCATAACCCGAGATCTTCGGCATCGCTGGCCATACAGGGCAAGTAACAATGCAGCGTCACCAGGACTTGAGTTAGGTAAGTTTCCTATAAAAGGGCTACACCCGCATTGTACTGTGATCGCCAGAGTCAAACTACATCTGGACAAGTTTTGGTGAGAGGCTGCAGAGACCAGGAAAGCATCGCGCCACGGACGCTGCCCTGGCCGCTCGCCAGCTCGGTCCAAGGCCAGGTTCCCAAAGAAGTAACATCCGTTACTCCCCCTAGCAGTAAAGACGAAAGCACCTACCCGAATGTCGTAATGATCCTTCAGTCCGTCCTCCAGGTGATTCAGGTACTCGTAGATATCCAGCCGGTCCAGGCAGCTTTCCAGGAGCGTGTACATGCATTCGAAAGCGGCTTTCCTCACATCAAGGCCATCGTCCACTGTGTGCTTGAACGGCCCCATTTCTACCTTAAGCCAGAAGACGAGCGCGGCGGGTCACGAGGAGGGCGCGGGCAGCGGCTGCCCCGCGTGCTCCCCCGGCTGCCCCCGGCTCCGCGCAGAGCCCGCGCGCGCTGGCACCTACCTCCCGGATGAGCTCCCTCCTGACCTTCGTCTCGCTGTACAAGCTGGGCAGAACGGCACTCAGCAAATCGCGGATCAGGGACGGTTTGTTGTGAGCAGCAGAATTAAACAGAGCTAAAGCCACACGTCGAACGTTCAGGTCTGGATCCTGAAGAGTCTTTAAAAAGTCACCTTTGGGATAAGAACACACAAATCAGTCCTGCTGCAGTGTTTCAACTGCTCTTCAAGCACGTGCTGATGGATCCAGAACAACACAGCCTGGGTATGAAACTGTCTGTGGCCACGTAGCTCCAGGGACACAGTCCAAAGAGCCACTGGAGACGCTTTCCCTCCCTTCACTTGGGATATAGTAACTGGAAGAAACACAACTTTCTGCGTTTGCCTATAGAATAAACAGCACCATTCTGGCTACCATAGACCTCATCCTAATGTCAAATGAGATGCCTCAGCATTCAAGCATGTTGTTTGTTTTTTCCTTAACTGCTCTGATGACACTTCTCTGAAGCAGGAGACTCAGTTCTGTAGAATGGATCCAGGATGCAGCCTCCGTAGGCACCAGGCTGCTTTACACAGTTTATAGTTTTCAAGATCCTTGTCTGTGGGATGCTTGATAAGCAGAGGGAGTTTATGCTCCCTGTAAACTGTCACCATGAAATATGCCTGAGAGCCAAGTATCAGACCATTTAACAAGGACTTACATGACAATGTCAGTCTTTAATCTCAAAAGCAGAGAAACAGGAATGAAAACTAACTGGATGGGGTTAGATTCACCCATAGGTGTGAAAAATCCCTCAAGATCTGCTAATGATGCCTAGCCCCAAGGTGCTGCTGCTAGCCCACCTATGCAGCCTTTCAGCAGAGCATCGATAGGCTGAGGCTGGTCTGCGATCGTGAACTTGACTGCGGTTACCACCGTGCTCCGGGCGTGAGGAGAACCTGCAGTGAGATGGGAAGGACAGAAAACAGTGAGAGGTCACAGGACAGAATCACTGCTATGGCTTTCAAGTACCTCATCTGCTCTTGTTCATGCTAGACCTGGTAACAGAACAGAGTATTTGTCATTCAAGTCCGGCCCAGCACAATCTCTGCACGTAGCCTGAGTGTCCTATGAGTCCCCTTCTCTGAGATCCCTCTTGCTTCCTGCTCACCCCCGCAGGCTGCTTTTGCTCCCCTTGTGCCCCCCGCAGTGTCCCGGAGGGCTCCCCAGCAAAGCTGGCCATTCCCAGGGCTCTCCCGGCACTGCCCTCCCGTTACCTGACGCCAGCTGCTTTTTCAGTCGGGGCAGCAACTCGGAGGGGTTCACCAAGGTCAGCTTCCCCAGGCATTCGGCCACCACGTTGCGCGTCCCCTCCTCGGTGCACTCGCAGTGCTTGAAAAGCAGGGCCCAGATGTCCTCGACGTAGAGCTGGAGGCCGTCGGGCGGCGAGGCGCTGATCACCTCCTTGAGCGAGTGCAGCAGCAGGTACTGCCTCTTGGGCTGGCTCCCGATCTCCCGCAGCATGAACGGGACGTACTCCCCGAGGCTGCCCACGCTGACGCTCCCCAGCGCATAGGAGGCAGCGGACTTGACCTCTTCGCTGGGAGAGCCGAACGCCTCCAGGATGACCGTTTTGAGCTCCCTGCTCTGCGCGCCGAGGTTCATGGTGCGCCCCATCTCAGCCAGCGAGAGGAAGGCCAGCACTTTAACAGCACAGCTGGACTTGGGGCTTTTCACATCCTGGATGAACTGGCTCACTGTCCCGGGGGCTTCCTTGGGGCAGGAGGAGGAAAGGGCCGCCACGCACTTGGCGACGGAGTAATAGGCCTGTCTGTGTAAGGAGGCCCCAGCTGAGCCCGGGGAGTAGATGGGCGCAGTCAGGAGCTTCATGAGCTCCGGGTACCCCGTGGCAGCCGCCTTGGTGAGCACGAGCGCCTGGAAGAAGGCGCTGAGCGCGCTGAGCGCGCCGCCCTGCAGCAGCGGCGAGTGCACGAGCTGCAGGGCTTCCGTGAGGAGCGGACCGCGGACCTTGGAGATGGAGGACGGACAGACCTTGGCTAAAGTAGTAAGGAACATGACAGCCACCTGGGAGACATGCATGTCATTCTCACTGATTAGAGCAGGGAGCTCCGTGAGGACTGACTCTATCATGGCAGGCTTGAGGCTGTCACCGTAGTTCCTCACCAGGATATCCAGGGCAGTCAGAGTGCTGAGCTTCAAGGCACGTTGATTCTTTCTCAGGAACGAAGCTAAAATGGGAAAACCTTCCCCTAGAATGGGTCTCAAGTCTATTTTAAGTGGAGAACTAGCAATTAAAGTTAATGCTTTGACTGTTGTCAATCTGGTGATTTCATTTTTGAGCCTCTCCAGAAATATCTTCAGGGTTGGCTGGAGATCAGTGCTTAAGTGGTCTCCCAGATTGCAAATGATCTGGCCCATGCACGAGATAGCTCGTTCCTTCACTTCCTGATCAATATCAGCTGCTTTCAGCCGCTTCAGGGTACCGGGGAAAATGTCTTTCACATAGGGCTTGGCGTCAAAAGTGCAAGGTTTATCCAAGGGCCTGATAACTTTCACAAGTTGCTGAGTGACCAGGAGAGCTTCTGAAGTGATCTTATAAAAGGGGTCTCCAATACAGGTCACAACTGGAGGTAGCAGGGCCTTGATATGAGGATGAAATACCTCTGGCTGGTGGTTGCAAAGAAGGACGTGCAAGAAAGACAGCGTGTCAATCCTCATGTTGGACGAGCTGGACTTATCAGCCAAGGAGAAAACAATACCTGTGCAGAGGAGACAAGAACAACTGCTCTTATTTCTTCAGGAATATTCTTTATAATAAAAGCCCCCCTACCTATTAACACGTTAGGGGGATGTGCACAGATTGAGTGCAGCAATGATCACAGGGGATTTTTTTTATACATTGACTATATATTCACATCAAGAAGCAAGGCAGCACCTTCATATCAGAAGTTGCTCAGCAATCTGAGATGTTTCATGAATCCCCAGGCAGGGGAAGCTCATCAAACACTGGGGAATGTATCGGTTAATACGAGGAATTTTTAAGACCACTGTTCTTTGAAACGACAAAAATGTCACTACGATGTTCCTGAGCGGGGCAGGTTAGGCAGTTTCCCTGCAGGCAGGAGCAGAGCTGCCCCAGCGCGTCTTGCCAGGGCGCTGTGGGGATGACTGTGCAATGCCGATCGGGGCAGCGCGCTCCCCCGCCGGGTGCGAAGGCGCGAGGCCAGGGCCGCTCTCCCCGCCCCGAGCAGCCTTACCCGGCACCAGCGCGGGCACGTGGGCGGCCAGGCAGCCGGGCAGCACGCCGGCCAGCTCCGTCAGGAGGCTGAAGCAGCCCTGGCGCGACTTGATGCTCTTGTCCTTGAGCTGCTTGTGCAAGGCCTTGACAATGCTGGGAACCTGCAGTGTGGAAAAGCAGACGAGAAAGGGACACATCAGCCGTGCCGGGGCCAGAGCAGCTCGTCCAGCGGCGCAGAGGCACCAACAGCGAGAGCTGCGAGGGAGCCACGAGAAACAGCCCTGCGGTTCGGCAGAGCACAGCTCAGGGACGCACCGCAGGAGGCTGCGTGTTAAGAAGGGATTTTTCCTCTCTCTGAAGTTCTACACAGTCCCGTATGCCTCCCTTCCCAAAGTCAGTATCACCTTCTAATAAAGAAGCTTAAGGAAGTGCACCAAATCAAAAAACAAACCTAAGGGCTGAGGTGCAAGCTATTTAAATAAATGTATCTCAAACATATAGAACACACATTCCAGTGTGGGCTGCACCTCAGCGACTCTCCTGTCACTCGTTACCCTACAGGATTCAGTCCCTGCTGGTTGTGTCCCCAATAGCTCCTTTACTGCGCTGCGTTCTCAGGCTCAGCCACTAGCCACAGTCATTGGCAACACAATCCCCATTTCTTCTCATTGCTCTGGTTTGACACAGTCACCACCTCCTCGCGCACCTGGTTCTGAAGCAATGTGAGGGGAACATCATCTCTGCCAGGGGCGTCTGCAGCGGGCAGCCAGCTCTGCACGGGCAGCGTTTGCTTCAGCAGAGAGATATAAGCACTGAAGATGTCAGCTTTGACATTCTCCTCGCGCTCTTTGAATCTGCTTATCAGGACCGGGGAAAGGGTCTTGTAGAAGTCCTGGAGGAGGTCGTGCCTGGTGCTCACTATGGCCTCCAGGCACTTCGCTGCCGACCTGCGGACCTTCCAGCTGATGTCATCGTCATCACTGTACTCGTCATCGCTCTCTGGAAAGCAGGGGAGGGAAAGCAAGACACACTGTTATGAGATACCAGGGCTGGAGGAGCGCTCAGTGCCTCAGCCTTTCCCTCTCCCAACAAATAGCTGTGTTTGGGAACAGGAGGATGGGCTATCTGGACAATCCCTGCAGATATGACCATGCATTAGGACAGGTGATACGAGTCAGGGCTGCCCTGTGCTGGCATGAGCTCAGACCCCTGTCCCTTGTAGGGGCTGGTAGAGACTGAGCCTCTCTAATATTGCACCCACCAGGGAGGCTGCCTCAGCTCCGGCACCACAACTTTTGTCATGAAGGGGAAACGATTCTCAGATGTTAAAGCCAAAAATATGTAAATATTTGTTCTAGCAATTCCTAAAATGGCATAAAACAGTGTAACAGTGTCCAGTGTTATTAGCAGAACATTTATCATTCTCTCCAGAACGCTGGCCAGTGGCTTACATGCGCTGGTAGGGCAGTGAAAGAATGCCTTTCTTCAAGGCACGTGCCCTAACTTCTGCTCTCAGCGGCCACGCTCTGGGCAGCTGCAAAGGGCAGAGGGCAGGAAGTGCTGCCTGTAGCCAGCAGTCATTAACTGACCCCTGGTAACCGTTCAACTGCAGCTTCTGGATTTGCCTTAAGACCCTTCATTTCAAGAAATATGACTGTCAGGACCGCTGTGAGGGGTGTGCGGACAGACAGCAGTCTGTGTTACGGCTGCATTTGAGCCATTACTGCAGGCGCAGGAGCCCGGAGCAGCCAAGAGCATCCAGGAAGGGGCAGCGCGTGCTCCCCGCATGGGCGCTGAGCGCAGGCTGGCCCTGTTCCCAGGCCTTAATCCCGGCTGGTCCCAGAGCCTCGCGCGCGGGCACGGACACGGCGAAGCCCTCCTGCCGCAGCGCTCTGCAGATACAGAACTCTGCACAGGGCAAGTTCCTGCGTCCCCCCTGCTGCCTTAGGCAAGTGGAGATTGTCAGAAAGAAAGGAAAACTAACAAAATCAGAATCACCGCTGGGGCTTTGCATACACCGCTCTGCTATTGTCACTGCAGAATTAAACTAGCTCCTTTAAGAGCCCTGTGGGTCTGACTGGGGACAGGTAAATGCAACAGTACGGATGCAGCAGGAGAGCAGGAAGGGGAGAAGCCAGCGCTCTGCTGAGCACACTCAACCTCACAAGCAGGCACCTTGCTCTTCATCCTCCCCATTTTCAGTTTCCATCATCTCTTCCTCTTCATCCTCCTCATTATCATAGTTGTAGTTTGGGTCAAAGGTGATGTACTTCAAGCACAAACCTATCACACTAAGGATGTGAGGGTCAATTTCCTTTGGGCACCTATCAAGACAATAAAAATCCTAAGAGTTAATAAATCCAAGAATACACCATTTCAAATATCCAAATAACATAATTCATTCAAAAAGATCCCACTTAACAAAAAATTTTAAATGTTTTGCTAACGAGTTAAACCAGAGCTTCTCGTTCCCACAGTGCATAAAGGAAGGTCATGTGTCCCTGGAAAGGGCACAGTAATTTCTATATGGGAAAAAAAAATTAACCGTGTAATTCTGTCCTTCTCCTGCCCTGGAAGGAAACGTGGGCAGCTCCTTTCCCAAGGCAAGCACTGAAATTCCAACCACACTGTGACTGGAGCTGCAGCCTCCGTGCCTGAGCACCCATTCCCTGCAGGCTCCAGGCATAAGGCAGTTCCCTTGTGCTGAGGGAAGCTCCAAAGACAAGAAAAACCTCCACTCCTGCTAAACCAGCACGGACCGACACGTGCAGCAGCGGCGGCCAAACAGCTCTCGTGCTTGAGCGCAGCTCTGCCTGCTGAAAGGGGCTTCCTTCCTGGGCTGCGCTTTCCCCACATGCAAGAAGCTCAACCTTGGATCTCAACACACAGGTGTTTGCAACAGGAGAGCACAGAGGCAGGGGAGGCTGCCTAAATGTTCCTGCAGGGCACACACCTTCTCACAAAAGACTCGAAGGCCTGAAAGCAGTACTCCCTCAGCTCGTCGTCTTCCACGCTGCAGTACTGCACTATCAGAGGAATTATCTTCTCCAGATGTTCTCCTGGGAATGACAAAGTGAGCAGCTGTGGGAATCATTCCAGCTTTCACCTATCTAAGCAGCTAACAGCTTAGCTATCTGCTGCTTTCTGCTTGTGTCCTGCAGTTCATTCCCACCCTGGACGGTACCAGCGAGGAGCCAGCAGCCACCCAAGACAAGCCTAGAAGGGTCTTCAGCACTCAGCCCCGGCACCTGCCCCCAGAACCTTGCTGTCATTCCAGCGTGGAAAGAGAGCTGCAACTGGAAATCTAGAACCTAATCTCAATTCTGGCAGATCTTTCAGGCCAGTACCACAACATGCTGCCTCCCCATTTCTCCTCTCGTTTAACACAGGGTGGGTCTGGTGACCTATTTCACAGGGGCATTAAGATCAGGGCAGCACTGCACGACCTTGAGGGAAAAGGCACTAAAGAGCAGCCAGAGTCTCCCTTCCTAGTGGAGATCAGAGAGCCAGAGCAGGACCCCAGGGGAAATGACAAAGCCCAAGCCATTGACACATCAGGAACACACTTTTACCACTAGAAGTGAGCTGCTTTAAGATGTGGGTACATTTGCCAGCAACATTTCAAACTACTCATCCTACCTATGCGGTGGCCAGCCTGCCTGCTGATGCCAGCTATACACTGGATGTAAGTCCTGGTGGTAGAAGTAGACTCGTTCCTCTTCAGCTCAGCAAGCAGATGCTCTGTGAGCTCCGAGAAGATGTTCCCACTGCAGGTCAGGACGAGGTGACCCAAGGCAATGATGGCCCTTTTACGCACTGCCAGCCTGGGGCTTGTCAGCTGAGGAAGGAGGCAGCTCAGGATGGAGGAATGGAAAGAATAGAGTGTCCCCCCTAGTCTGCAAACAACAGAATACAGAAATTGAAAGTCAGATCCTCAGAAAAAAAAGCCTCTATGCCAGCAAAAGGAAAATGAAAAAAGCCTTCAGCTCTGAAGGCTTCATGCATTTTCAGGGTGAAAAAAATCCCCAAAACAGCAACAACAAAAGAGGTGTTTTGATTCTATCATTGACTCGTTATGTATGACATGGAAAAGTTACTTGTCTTCACCAAGGAAGAGTCTGATTCTGACTCTGTCTTCTGGATGAGCTGGGGTTTTGCTAATCAGATCCTGTGTGCAGCTGACACATGACACTGTCACTCTGACTTATGTAATAGGAGAAACAGGCAGCCGGGGGAAAAAATATATATGTGATCAGATCACAGGACTAAAATAATCCTCCCTTCTTTTCCCCGTCCCTTCTGCCCGCATCAACTCGAACTGACCTTTGTGGGATTCTTCACCCCGCTGCCGCTATTCCCCAGCGCAAAGAGCTTCACGTGTCGTCTCATCCCTGTTGGGGAATCTGCTCTGCCAAGGTATCTCCCCAGTAGCAGTCAGCACAAATTCTTAATTTCTGAGCCCCCATAGCAAGATTAGGGAAATACAGAAATCGAAAGCAAACGCATGCAGTGCCGTGCCCTGCAGTACATGGCTGCCAGGAGAAAATCCTCCGGTACCTGCTCAACATATCCGACAGGATGTCGAGCGCCTCCAGCTGCACAGACACGTCCTCCTGCCTGCCAATGGCTCCTGTCAGCTGGGCTGTGATCTTCTTGCACACGTTTGCTGTCATGGTAGAGCCTGAAAGAGAGACATTTTTTCTTGACGTCAGTTAAGAAGAATCTTTATACTGCCAAGAACCATTCCATTTCTCCTGCGTTAAAAACAAAACCATCGCAGGGCGAGCCGGCAAGGCAAGCAGACAACAGCGCTTGTTTGAGGCAGGGACAGACACCGGGAGCAGCGAGGCAGCTCCCGGAGTCCCATGCACCAACTCCTTGGAAGCTCCTTCTGCTCTTGGAGAGCATCTTTTACCAGCCAACAGCTGGGCTGCCACAGCAGCTCCAGGGCCAGGTGGGAAGGGTTTGGGGCTTTTTTCTTTTTTCTCTCCTTCATTCTTAATGTGAAAAACATTCAGTTTCAACAAACAAAGGCTTCCTCCATGCGCAGGAACTTCTGGCAGGAACTGCTGGATAAATCTATCCCAGAACAATATATACCCCAGGTTCGAGGCTGTGGCGGTGACAATCACAGTCCTGAACCTTGATCTCCTGATGCAGCTGAATGCCCAGGTACATGTTTGGTCTTCCTGCTGCCGTGTGCCTGTCCCAACACTGCCCTTTTTCCCCTCAGCGGGTTCAGCGCAGACCATGAGCAGCTCCACATTCCACGGAGCTTTCCAGAGAAGGGAAGGTGCTTCCTGCACCACGTTGCCGGCCTGGCGCGAGAAGCCGAGTGCTGCAGCAGCATCGCTACGGCGGGCCCATCTCGGACACGCTCTGCGGCTCGTTTCCAACTTCCCCTCTGCTCCAGCCAGCACCACAGCAGGCAGCAGCGCAGGGAGCACATGGGGGATGTCCAGCCTCTCCATTCCACCCCATCGTCCTTCCACCCACACAGAGCACCGATCCCGACCGCTAAGGAAATCTATTCTGTTGCTACCCTCAGTTTCAGTTCACATGATGTATGTTAAATAAGGACTTCTGAAAGGATGGCTTTCAGGAGCTTAACATTTTGCAGAAAATGAGAGAGGAATTCAGCAAGTATTTGCATGCTAATCCCAGTTCTCCCCTGAGAACTAAAATCCATGCAGAGATCCCTGCTGCAGCCACCTGCCACAAGCCAACAAGGCAGGTACGAGCAGGCCGCAGAGGCAGCCAGCTCTAATCTCCGGGCACTCCAGACATCCCCTGCAGAGCTGCTGCACGTTTCTGGGATGGCTGGTTGTGCAGGGGCAGCCCTGGCCGCCGCGCTGTCCCCAGGCGGCCCCGCGCCCCGGCAGCCAAGCCGAACGTGGCGAGGTTGAGCGACATAAAACAGGATTTCTGCAAGGACTCAGGTGCAGTTTCAGACCGAAGTATCCCCAGGGTAACTAACTCAAGTTTTCGTTCCCTCTCATCTTTAGTCATGTTGGTATCTCAGCCTCTGCTTCTCTCTTCTCCTTACCATTGCTTGCAATCTAGCAATCCGTAACTCTTTGGCTCTGAACTACTTTTCCCTCTGTCTCCCCAAGGCTGCGGCTCCCTACAGCTTTGTGCTGACAAACGGGGACAGACCCGTTACCTGCAGAAGCTGGCGGCAGCTCTGAGATGACAGTTTTCAGCCCAATGCTGGAGATGTCCCTCAGCTGTTCCTTGTCCGACAGCATGTTTGTACAGAGCGTATCCACGATGGTTTCCACCTGGTACTCCTTCACTTTGCCAACCAGCGGGCCCAGGCTGCAGGAGGAGAAACCAGTGAGACTGAGCAGAGAAAGGGCTGCCTTGCACCGCGTGGAGAGCGGGCTCAGACTCGCTGCTCCCTGAGGAGCAGCTCAGTCCCAAGCACAAGTATTACCAAAACACCCGTACAGAGACGCACGTTGTGCCCCGAGGCTCCGGCACCTCGTACTCTGCCTCGGTAACTCTGCATCAGGGATACTTAGATCGGATCTGCAGGAAGGTATTTAACCTACTGCAGACGTGAGGATAATAAGATCTTAGTGGAAGGGGAAGCCCAGAAATCATGACACAATGATTTAGAATGAGAATGACCGTGTTAAAGAGAATAATGGTAAAATTTAGGGTCAGGTTTTGAAAAAATACATCAAAAACTGACTTGTAAGAGCAAGTGCCAAATGGATTTGCACATGTAGCTAACCACGTACTGCTCTCTGCCACATGCCTGAAGTCCTCTACTTGAGTCAGGCTCAGAATTACAACAGAGGGAAGACTCGATTGGAGTAAGTTTCATTTCCCTGCATTTTTTTTTTTTTTTTGGATAAAGCCTACGTTTCCTGCTGGTGAACTTGTATTCAAAATTGTGCAGAAGCAATTTACTTGCAATTATTTATTTTTAATTGCTCCTATTTACAAGATAACTACTTAAAACGTGAAGTTTAAATTGTATTTCAACAAGTCTCGTGTTGCAGCTTCCCTCTCCTGTCAGCCAGACTTGCATCTTTGAATTACGCTGGGGAATTCAAAACGCATTTGCTTCCCATGAATATTCTGTACCCCTCAGAAATTGCTGCTTCACAAGCAGCTAGAATATTCATAAGAAACAAACACAGATGAATGAAGCTGGTGCTCGCACTTTGTAGAGTTCACTTTCACCCACCATGTAAAAAAATCTTTGAACAAAAGCGCATTTTTGTTTTGTTTTTCCCTCCTCTCCTCGGCATAGCGGGCACAGTCTCCTTGCTGCTACAGGACTGCTCCTAACAGCGTGCTCAGCCAGCACTACAGCACAGCGTTCCCAGGGTTCACACACTGAGCCTGAGCCTGGTCTGTGCAAGGTTTTTCTTAAATTCAACAATCAGGACAGGATACTAACAGCTGTGTAGAGCCAGAGCATCTTCTCTGAAATATAAGAGTTAAAAAATTACAAAATAAGAGGATTTTGCACAAGTGAAAATGGATTTTAATCCTATCCCTGAAAATACAGAATAGAAAAGAACTGGCTGTTGCCCCTATTTTATGAGGTGGGAGACTGAGGCACAGAGAAGCTGAATAATTTTCTAAATTTGGGAGAGGGGGAACCAAAACACAGGATGAAAAATAGGATAGATTTGCATCTCAATTAAAAATTTGGGAGATTTTTTGGATGAAAAGTGCAATTTCAGCTTCCCTCTGAATCAGACCTCTGTTTTAGATGATAAAAATAAACTGTGAGACCTTTCAGGAACTCACAAACCCTTAAGTGGGCTGCACAGATCCAGGCTTGGGCTACTTCAACCACCAGTGTCCTTCAAAGTGTCACCTCCCGCTCAGAGGTACTTGCACCTCTCCAGGGGCTGCCCAGGCATTTGCTGTTGCAAGTACTGCCTGAGTTACGGAAAGAAAGTGTGCATGGTTTCATTTACTCTCTAATTGTCATTTTGGATGAATTACAGATTGTAATGAGTATGGACTTACAGGTGATGCAGCCATAGCTAAAGAGGCAAAGAAATTTCTCTCTCTTTTTATTTTTTTTAAAGTGCCCAATGGCTTTTCTTTAAAAAAACAAAAGAAACAAACCCAAACTAGATAAGAGACAAGAACAGGGCCAAAACAGCTGGAGAAAAATCAGGATAGTGGAAATCAAGAAGAAAGAACCAAAGGTCACAGGGTATGGGGATAGAAGCAGTATAAGATTTAAAAGAAAGGAGAAGTAAGATCCACAGTAGGAAAGAACACAGGAACCCAAAGTTGTCTTTAAATGGCCCACCTTTCTGGAGCCCTGTGCGTGAACTGACCCATTCAATCTCATTTCTAGCATGAACACTCCCATTTAGACACGCTGGGGGAAAGAGACAGGAAACAACACGTCAGCAGTAGGATCACTTAATTGGAAGATTCAGTAATAAGGGGACCGTCTGCCTTTTCATTTGGCTTTAAAATACTAAAAATGTTCAAACGAGGCAATGGCACAGACTAACCTTAGAGACAAAGTAGAAAAACAAGTACATTGCAAACTTTAACAGAAATGCCCTTGGAGAGTAGGATTCAAAACTCCTGAAACTCAAATGCCATTTCTTGAGGAGTACCTTAACACTACCTCTAACAATGACACGACCAAGGGGGAATTCAGCACTGGATTTCAGAGCCCTCTAAAACAGAGGGGTCCAAAAATTTGTATCTGCACTAATCTCTGAAATAACAGAACTTAGACATGTTATTTTTAATGTGGCAGGCCTGTAGCATAAGCACTGGAATGCTTCCAAAGCCCCCTTCTACAGAGGGCCGTGTCCGTTCAGCGGGTGCCAGCGCTGTCGGGCCAGCCCCGCTCCGCGGCCTGCGGCGCTCCCCTCGGTGCCAGGGCACACGGGAACTGCTGCCGAGGCTCTTACCACTTCACAGCGAGGTTCTGCACTTCCCCGTTTTTGTCCTCCAGCAATTTCAAAAGCATTTTCACAACTTTTTTCTCGCTGTCTTCATCTAGCTTTATAGAATCTTTCTGCAGTTCCATCATCAGGTCGTTGGTGGCCATAAACCTGAAACAACACAGAGCAATAGGGGATTGGAGGATACATGGACACGAGTGCACTTCCTAGAGAAGTTAATTTGAGGAATGTATAAGAAAACACCTGCAAGCACTAACATACAGCCCTTTGCATTGCACTGAAAAATAAAGTACAAATAATCATTACTATCTTGCAAGTGAAAAACTCAGAGGTGACAGCTGAAAAAAACTTACCTAAGGAAGCTACTCTCTCTCTCTATATATATATACACACACACACACATATACAAAAATATTTCCCATTCTCTCCTTTCCTAAAAGTACTTAGCGGGCATGGGTTAACTAAGCCTATGAAATGAGAGCAGGGCCTGGGAACACCCCGGCTGTGCTGCTCCCGCCCTACACAGTCACTCCAGACCCTTTGCCACCAGCAACCGATCGGAGCTCTGCACCAGGGAGCAGCGGGAGGTTCCAGAACGCGACCACCAGCTCCGAGGAGAATGTACCACGAACACAAGGTTCCTCTTCTGGCGCTGATGCCATGTCACTGAAACAAATAAGTGCTCAGAACAGCTAGCATGCAGCTGATCTTTCCATGCACGGCAGGGATGGGATCATCAACTCTGGCCTTCCTCTCCAGGCCGCCTGTCTACAGCTGTGTGATTGCACACATGGAGGGGGCCTCCCAGGCTAAAAAAATGACAACGCCATGCCTCTGAGCAAAGAACAGTCTAAAACTTACCCAGCCTATCTTTATACCTCACTTAAAACTTATCCAGGCTATACTTAGCTCTATTGTTCAACCCAGTCATAGGTTGTTTTTATCCCTCTGCTTGGAGCCTCTTTCCTAGCCCAAACAGCAGTTTCATCCCTACGCTCCCCCTCTTTCCTCGTTAGCTCCCTTGCAGAGGTTTCTTTCTATCCCAGAGGAAGACGCTAAGCCCCTCGCTGCCCCGAGGCTCTGCTGTGAAGGACAGGACACTGTGAACAGCGCGGGCGCTTCCAGCACTTGGGTCCCACACAAAGATCAGCTGCTGCATCCGCGCTGCAGCGTCTGCTGCCGGGAAGCCCGGGACAGAAGGCACCCTGGGATCCCCCCCAGGACACGTGTGCCTTTGACCTCCTCATTTCTCTCTCCAGACTCTTTGGTGGCCCTTCTCTAAGGAGCACTCCCCTGCTCTTTATTGCCTACCCACAGGCCAATTAGTTTTATTTAGACACAATTAAAACATAAGCTGATATTTAGCAGCAAGGACCACTCCTGATTGCACTTGCGCCATGCAAAAACAAGCACTGTATTTATCATTTCTGCTTTGAAAGGAGAGGAAAAAAACAATCTGGCTTACTGTTAGTCGATACTATTTTGTAATAGGGGTAATGTCAAAAGCGATATTGAGAAGCTCTGGAAAGCACCCATTTTCCTGGGAGCAGCACTATAAAAGGTGCTCGCATGGAAGCCTGGGGTGCTGAGATGTAACCAGCAGCAGCCCCAGCACAGGGACGGAGCCTGTAAGGGGCACAGAGGAGCCGCTCTGCCTCCCGTGCCAGGTGACGGCTCCGGTTCACATGAGGCTCTGAGGTAACTCGTTCAGCAGCTAAAAGCTCCCATGTGCCGGGACAACGTTTCTACCTTCAGCACGCAGGCTCCTTCCCTGGCAGTAACGAGGTACGGGGAACTAGAGGCTGCTGGGGTGCTGGATAACCAGCCAGAAACCGAAAGCGAGAAAAATAGAGCGTTTCTGGATGATAGCTTTAACAACGTACAGCCTATTTTTGATTCAACAAGAGCTATTAAGCTGCACTTTCCACTCGCCACCTGCAAGAACCAGCGGGAGCAACGACAGCCAGGGACGGAGCAGAACCTGCC